GTAATAAATTAGATAACTAGTTAGTTATTTATCATTCATTTGGATTTATAATAAGTAGTTGATTCGGACACTCGAACATTCGGACCCTCTTGTGCGAGGGCCAAATATGTAATAATTTGTGTATATCTTTCAACCCTCATTTCTTTCTCCATTTTATTTACATACTTATAATGGTAGCATCATATTTTCCGTAGCATTTTCCATGACTTACATCCATTTTTCTTGTATATATACGGGCTCAGCTCATCACATTAACCAATGTCAATTTCAAATTCCTTACTCCAATATGTGCTCTCTTGCATACCTTGAATTGACTCATATGCCATGTTAGTAAGCCGAGCTTATTATTTGTATAATGTGTGTGTCGCATTAGTCGTATTGCATTACTTAGGATCATGCATGTTTCTATTTATTTTTGTTTTATTTGGCTTGCCTTGGAGTACTAGGTGAGCGATTTTGCTTTAGCATACTGCATGCGTGCAATTGCTGCCATGTCAAGCATGTTTACCATGAGGCTAAATGCTTAGTTAATATAACTGTTTGAATGCCTGTGGACGGAGGCTTTTTCGCTTAAATTGGAATAATTTGATTAATATAAATACGAGCTCGCTTTTTTAAGTGACACGTATTCAAAACACTTTTTCAAAACAAACATAAAATCAATGCATTTCAACTTTCGTGAATTAGTCTATACTTGCGTGCATCACATAGTAAAAATAGTATAATAACCGGAACAAGAGCATATAATGTAGATAAAAATCACATCATGATTAGTAGAGGCCGATCTTTAATCGGGTGAATGGGGTGCTTAATTCATGACCTTCCCCTCTCATACATAAGTTCTTGAGCCGAGACACTTTGGTGATAACGGACACGTGGCCTTTGGCATGAGTCATGAGTTTCTTAAATTTCTCAAAAATATTTAGGTGGCGACTCTGAAATCTGGCAATGCAGTCTATTTTTGGCATTTTTTATTAAAAATCAATTTTTCAAATGATTTTTCGTATTTGGACTCCTTTATATTTATCTGTTTCACATTGTACTTGTAAAGCCAGATTCAAAACCACGGGAGTCCGAACTGTAGGGTTATCGTATCTGAAAGGAGTACGAAAAACAAGCTACAGGTTCGGCTCATTATACTTGATATCATTGATTATTTCTTACTTGAATACGTACGTTACTGCATACTTGAGTGGATTCATATGTCATGTCAATAGCTGAATCCAGTAGTTACATATATGTATGTGCATTAGCCATTTTGCATATTAGGGTCATGTAACTTCGTCACTATCTTCTTTTCCTTGCCTTGTCTTGTTTGAGTACTAGGTGAGTATTTTTTGCTTTAGCATATTGCATGTGTGTTTGTGTTGCCATGTCGAGCATACTACCATGAGGCTACTCGCTTACTTGAGATATCTCTATGAATGCCTGAGGATGAAATGACTTTAATTATTGTACATATGAGCTAGCTTTTCCTTTGGGTTACACATAATTTAAGCTCTTTTCAAGAAAGCATGAAATCCAAGCATTTCAAAGTAAGTGACGTGGTCTATACGTGTTTGCTATACATAGTAATGCTAGTATATTAATAATCAGAACATGAGCATATAATGTCTATAAAATTCACATCATGATTAGTAGAGGTCGATCTTTGATCGAGTGAGTGGGGTGCTCAATTCATGACCTTCTCCTCTCATATCTAAGTTCCCGAATCGAGACACTTTGGTTATGATGGACTAGTGGTCTTTGGCATGAGTCACGGGTTTCCTAAATTTTCTAAACATATATAGATGGTGACTCTGAAATCTAGTAATGCAGTCCATTTTTGACATCTCTGATGATTAATGGATTTTTTAAGATTTGTCGGATTTGGACTCTCATTCATTTTTTTATTTTATATTGCATTTGAGAAACCAGATTCAAAACCACGGGGAGTCTAAACTGTAGGGCTATCGTACTTGATGTGACTAAACCCCTCCAAGGAACACAAAAAACCAGCTACACCTAGTAAACTGAGAAGATGAGGCAGGCGCAGAGGGTGAAGGCATACTCTGTCCATATCTCCGTCTTCCACGAATCCAACACCAGCATTACCTTCCTTCCCCAATAAAAGGTCATATGCATCATCTCTCATTCCCTTCTCTGATCTTCTTAATACGTAATACTATTGCTAATACTACTAATCAATATGTTGTGTTTTCCAATCCGAGTCAATCTGATCTAATAGAAAACAGATAAAGAGAGAAGAGAATAGGAAAATTTCGAAAGAGAAAACAAGGACAAGCTTGTCCAAAATGACTAAGTTTAAGGTGTCTTTTGATGTCTATTATAGTTATTTTATTTTACGGTATGATTGTCATTAAAATAAAGTTTCATTAAGTGTACGCATTAAGGTAAGTAGGTGTATAGAAATAACGGCCTTGTTTGGTTTGTTTTTCAGAAAATTTTTTGAGAAAAATTCTCTACAAACAAATTTTCAAGAGTAATCAAACCAAACAAATTTTTTCAAAAAAAATCTCAAAATTTTGTTTGGGTATCTACTTTTCAAAATCACTCTCTCTCTCTCTCATACACATCAAATCAATCACTTTTTTTAAAACTCTCTCCCCGAAACAATTTTCCAAAACCATTTCTGAAAAAAGAAGAAAACCAACAAATTTTCGTACTTTTTATCTCAAAAATTACTCTACAAACACAAACCAAACACACCCAATTTCCCATGAACCTTTGACATGAGCATGGCAATGAATTAGGAAAATTTCGAAAGAGAAAACAAGGACAAGCTTGTCCAAAATGACTAAGTTTAAGGTGTCTTTTGATGTCTATTATAGTTATTTTATTTTACGGTATGATTGTCATTAAAATAAAGTTTCATTAAGTGTACGCATTAAGGTAAGTAGGTGTATAGAAATAACGGCCTTGTTTGGTTTGTTTTTCAGAAAAATTTTTGGGAAAAATTCTCTACAAACAAATTTTCAAGAGTAATCAAACGAAACAAATTTTTTAAAAAAAAATCTCAAAATTTTGTTTGGTTATCTACTTTTCAAAATCACTCACTCTCTCTCATACACATCAAATCAATCACTTTTTTTAAAACTCTCTCCCCGAAACAATTTTCCAAAACCATTTCTGAAAAAAAAAGCAAACCAACAAATTTTCGTACTTTTTATCTCAAAAATTACTCTACAAACACAAACCAAACACACCCAATTTCCCATGAACGTTTGACATGAGCATGGCAATGAATTCATTCTAAGACCTTTTTTGGAAAGATTAAAAGAAGTCAGCTTATTTGTTTATTGACTTATTTGAGTTATATCATCTCTTTATTTATTTTTTAGCACGTTTTTTTTATAAAAAAAGTCAATGAACTAAAAAAAAATTCACTTCCCAAAATAGGCCTCAATCATAGGTTGGGGTAAATTGTAAGTCGACTCTCTCATAAATAATTATTATCCAAGAATTTACAAAATAAGGTTATGTTTGAATTATAAACTTGAATTAAAATTTAAAAAAAAAGAAGAAAGAAATGTAAATAAAATATAATTATATTCTATTTATTTGTTTTTTAAATTTTTACTAAAGTTCATGAGTTAAATGTAGTTTAAAGGTTGGTTTGAAAATTGATTTTTTCAATAACTTTTTTATTTTGATATGAAAAGACATACAAAAAGATAAAGAGAATAATTTGAAAATTTATTGTGACTTTTTTATTAAAATATTTAGGCCTCGTTTGGGAACAGGCTAATTTAGTAACTTTTTGGCTATTTGGCTAAAAAGGTAGGTAAAAAAAACTTTTAAATGTAGTTTAAAGGTTGGTTTGAAAACTGATTTTTTCAATAACTTTTTTATTTTGATATGAAAAGACATACAAAAAGATAAAGAGAATAATTTGAAAATTTATAGTGACTTTTTTATTAAAATATTTAGTTTCCAAACATCCCCTAAATGGAGGGTTAAATTTAATTAATGTTGTTTGAATCTATATTTAGGCTAGAAACTAAATATTAACTTTTTGACTAATTGGCTAAAATAGCCTCTTGCCAAACGAGGCCTTAGTTTCCAAAATTAATGTTGTTTGAATCTATATTTAGGCTAGAAACTAAATATTTTAACTAAGAAGTCCGTACAAATTATTAAATTATTCTTTTTTTATATATATATTTTTTCATAATTTTTTTTTTCAAATGAGACCTTATAATAAATTTCAATCATATATTGATATTTTTAAATAAAATTTTTAAATTTTTATAGCGTTACATTCACACAAAATTCTTTGGTTCAAATTCCCTAAATGACGTGATAAAATTGGTTAGAAAGTTTTGAAAAGAAGAAAAGACTCTATGAGTCATTAATTTATCTTTTTCTTATCGCGTCATTCAAAAGATTTTGTGAAAGAAAAATTATGTGAATAAATCATTTTTTTACAGTATTACAATGTGATAAAAGCTAGGAAATATCATAGATTCCAAAATTTCTATCAAATATATGACTAAAAGTCTCACATAAGTATGGAATATGTGAGACATAAATAAAAAATTTAGGGATGGTTTGAGATGATTTAAATAAATGCATTTTTTTGACTTTTTATGAAATATGGGTTAGGTTTGAAGTGATGTGTTAGAGAGATGATGTGACTTAAATAAGATGACGTGACTTAAATAAGATAGTGACTTTTTGACTTTTTAACTTTTTTAGATCATGACAAACAAGGCCTTAATATCCTCAACACACCAATATAAAGCATTTAATTATTTATTTAATAAAAAATTTAATATCCTTAACATTAAGAAAAATGATCTGGATCCCCTTTTTCTCCCACCCCTTGACTTCCTTTCTCTCTGATTAGTCAATTTTTTTTTTTTTTCCTTCTCTTTCAATCACCAACCACCATATATCTATGAGATAGTGGGGGTGTTGATTGAAGGGAGCCCCCAATCACTTCCCTGACATTAAATGCTACCTTCTATCGCACCGCATAGAAAAAGCAGAGAGTTTCCCATTGGATAGGACTTTGTCGCTCCCCTTTCACATATTCCCATTTCCTTGACACTTCTCTTTTCCAACTATTCTGACCTTCCCATGGTCATCTTCGCATACACGCACACATACCGACTCTCTCTATGTCTCTCTCCGTTCCTTTCTTGCTGGTTAAGATAGTAGGTGTAGGTAGACTCCACACGAAATTCTTTTCTAGTATGCTTCGTATGTATTTCATTGACTTGCCGTCAACATCCTTTCTTTTCTTTTCTTTTCTTTTATTCTCTCTCTCTCTCTCTCTCTCTGTATATAATGATGCTTTCTCTACCTGAAATTGTACAACATTTGCTTTTTTGATGACCTTTAAGGATTTTGAAACCTTAAAAAAAGCAAGGTAATTTGGTCCATATATTTCTCCTCTTTTAAAAATAGACATTGTTCACTAGTTCTAGCTACCATTCTTCTCTCTGTTTCTCTTATTTCTTTATTTGTTTTTCAGGTTTTATTGTTATATCTGAGCTGAAACTGAAGTGGGTAATTTGTGGGAAGTATATATACATCGACAGAGAGAGAGACAGTGATGATGATGATGATGGGAAGTAGTAGTGGGGAGAAGGCAGAACAGGGGATTAAGGGAAGAGGGTTGATAGATGTGGTGTTTTCTTGGTCTCTTGCTGATGTATTCAACAAAGATCTTTACAAGTCCAAGGTTTGTTTGTTTTGATCATATCATTCTATTCTCCCTTCTTTGCCTTCTTATTTACTATTTTGAAACAGTGGTGTCTCTATTTGGTGGTCATGTATATGTGTTTGTCTATCTATCCATTCTCCCAATAGTTACGATTTTTATGGCTATTATAATATGGAAAATGCTAGAGGTCCCAAATTTTCTACCAAATAAATGACCAAATGTCTCACATGGGTGTGGGGCCCACAAAATTGCGGACCCCACACCCATGTGAGACATTTGGTCATTTATTTGGTAGAAAATTTGGTGTCCCTAGCATTACCCATTTTTTTTAAAGGACTCCCATGCATATATGGCATAACCATGCTAACTTTGTATTGATTGAATTCCTCAATTTGATTGTATTCCTCAGCCATGTCAATTTTGTGTTAAACTACACTTTTATCCTTTTTATATTGAGAATGTTACAAATTTATCTTATTGGGCCTATTGTACTATTTTTTGTTTTCAAGCTTTTTTTTATAAAGCTTGGTCCTTACTACAGGGTTGGCCCTGAGTTATTAGGGACCTAAGGCAGATTTTTTAAATTTGACCCTTCATGTATCATTACCTTAAAAAAAAATTGTTTGGATAAAACAAAAAGGATAAAAATTTATTTCTATTGCATTACAATTTAACAAAATTTAGATAACAAATATACATATATATATATATATATATATAAAATAGTTGAATTTCAATTAGTTTAGTTGAATCGAATCTTTATTTTTTAGCTTACCAATGCTATAAGAACTAAAATTAATTGGGGGTAAGGATGAGAATTTTCGACACAACTCAAACAATATATAAAATTAGTAAGTTAGGATTGACTATTTTTCAATATGAATCTAAGTATGACACGACTCAATAATATAAATTATTAGTTATATATTTTAATATTCACTAAGAGATGCCATGATATTTTTTTAATCTTTTATTTAACTCTATGTAGATGAATAAAAAAGTATGTAAAATAATAATTAAAGCTAATATCTTTTTTTCATTTAAGATATGTGTTTTTTTTTTGGTACCTATTTTAGAGTCAATCTAATAAAAAATATATAGTAATAAGGTACAATTTTTTTAATTCAAAAAATACAATTGAATTAAAATCAAACATTCTATGAATAATTTCATTTAGTAGAAATAAATTTTATAAAATTCAACTTATGGGAAAAATTTTAATCTCTTCATACACTTGCTAAATTATTTTTAACTAAAAGTAAAAGGTTACGTTTGGTAGAATTTTGTAAATATGATTTGAGAGTATGAGTTGTATTTTGAGTTTGTGAGTTGTGGAATTATGATTTGAGTGTAAAAAATTTGTTTGGTTATGATTTTTGAATAGAGTGTTGAATTGTATATAGAATTGAGTTTTGAAAGCTTGATGTGACATATGAAATAAGAAAATTTGTTTGGTGATGAGTTTTCACAATAGTTTTCAAAACTTAATTCAACCTATAATTGATAATCAAACACTCAACTCATAACTCGATATCTGTATTTTTGATCAACAGTAATAACCAAACTATTTTTAAAATATTCAAATAAAAAATGATTTTTTTTTCAATTAATTGTTTTTAAGTAATTTTTTTGAATAATTTTTTTTTTCAAATAACTTCTATGTCAATTGATTTTTTTTTTCAATTAATTGTTTTTAAGTAATTTTTTTGAATAATTTTTTTTTCAAATAACTTCTATGTCAATTAATTTTTCTGTCAATTCATTTTTTAGGCCTATATAAACATTAAAAATATTAAAAATATTTCGAAAAATAAAATATTAAAAATATTCCGAAAATCAAAATATTAAAAATTAAAATATCAAAATATTAAAATTAAAATATTTTTATGAAAATTAAAATATTAAAAATATTCCTATAAAATAAAACAAAATATTTAAAATAAAAAATTAAAAAAAATTAAAAGAAAAATTAAGTTGTTTTTAAGTTTTAAAAAGAGTTTTGAGTTGTGTGTTTGGTTCTGAGTTTTGAAAAGTAATGATTATAATTTGAAATGAGTTTTGAGAAATGGGTATAGAATTATGATTTGAAAGCTGCAACCAAATACTACACTCAAATCAGTGGTGGAACTATGTTTTGAAATCTAAACCAAACAGAGCCAAAAGTTTTTACATTAAATATCAATCGGATACGAATGAAAATAACAACACACAACAACATGAAATAAATGAATTGAACTAATATTAAAGTAATTATGAAATAAGATGATATGATACACTCCCCTAATTGGAGGCCCTAAATTTTGCTCAAAATGGGGGGCCCGAGGCGACTGCCTTAATGGCCTCACCTCAGGGCCGACCCTGTCTTACTATATATTAAACAAACTATTTATCAGTCGATTGCCTCCTGTTATTTAACTTAGGGGTCGTTTGGAATGACCTAAATAAGTGCACTTTTTGTCTTTTTACAAAAACAAAAAGATGTGCAGAAAAATAAAGAAGTGATGTGATGAAAAAAAGATAAAAAGATTGATTATTTTGTGTATGCCAAACTTGGCCTTAATATTTTAAATTCTCTTGTAAATAAAAAGATAAATTGTAAAATATTATTTGAGGTTTATTTAAAATATGAAATATTCTCTATGGTTCTAAATATTATAAATATTTTCTTATCAGAATTGTTAATTAAAATATATTTGTGATATTATTAAAAATTATTAATTGACTTATTGGTTAATTAATGAAAGAGTTATTTGTTTTGCCAGTAAAAATTTAAAAGAATATGATGTAGTTTTCAAAATAACAAATTACAATTAGTATTACAAATGAATGAAAAGATTAAAAATAGAGAACTGATAATAAATTCAAAAAGAATCATAACAATGCTTGTGGAGGTGATGGGTTGTAGTAGTAGTTGTTGTGGTGGTGGTAATGACAACGGGGATTATGGTGGTGGTAGTGATTGATCAAAAAAAAAAATGGTGGTGGTAGTGAAATGATGGTGATGTTTGTGATAACAATGACAATGGTAATGAAAGTAGTGGTCGTAAAAAAATGAATGGGGTGATGGTGGTGGTGATAGCCATAGTAGTGAAAGTGGTGATAGAGGTGGTGATGGCAACGGTTGTGAGGTTATAGTGGTGGTTAATACTTATGTATAAGTATTTATAAATTTAGTCAAAATCAAATAAATTTCCTATCATTTAATTATTTTTTTAAAAAAAATTTAGCTTATATTTGAATAATCATTTAAATTTTTAAGAGATACAATTTGTGATTATCGAACAGATTTAATTGGTTTTTATTTAATACATTGGGTTTTAAATGTTGAATTAAGTTATCAAACACCAACAAGGTACTATTTGACAAAACTAAAAATTAAGTATAAAAATTGAATACTAACTAAAAGCTTGTTTAATAAAAACATAAATGTTAAAGTAAAATAAATTATTTGATATATATGATATATGATATTAAATTTAAAATTTATTATTTTATAATAAAATTTTCTAATTTTATATTGTGATAATGAGTTGGTGGTCTTTCAAAAAAAAAAGTGGTGGTGGTGGTGGTGGTGGAACCAACAAATGGTGCCTATAGTGCCAATGACAATGGTAGTGGCAGATAGAAAGATAGCAGTTGTGGTGATGATGGAGGGGTAATGTAGTGATGATGAAAATTGGGTAACGGTGGTGGTATAATGAAAGTAGTGAAATGATGTCGGTTATTGTGGAGGTGGAATGATGATAGTGTTTATGACAATAGTCGCAATGGTTGTGGATGTGAAGTGTTGTAGTAGCTTAGGAGTGTAAAAATAGCTCACAACCTGTAGGCGGTCCGAAGCTCACCCGCGGCGCAGGTGGGCCTGGGCCGAAGTCCTACCCAGGACCCTAGGCCTAGGCCTGGGCCATCATTTTGAAATCTAACCCACCTAGGTCGACCCGAGGCCCGCTCAAAAGCCTAGTTCGAGGTTCAGCCCAAGGTCCAGTGTCATTTTTGATGGAAAAAAATAAAATTTCGTAAAAAGAATAAGAAAAAAACTATTCAAGCCCGGCCCAGCCCAGCCCGCCGGCCCAAATACCTCTGGGCCTAGGCTTAATTTTCTGACCTGTAAGTCGGCCTAGACCGAATTTTGGTAGGAGCCCAAGAGGCCCGACATGGGTTAGCTTAAGCTCAAGCCCGAGCCTGGGTAGACCGGGCTAAATTTACACCCCTGTAGTAGCTATTGTAGTGCTAGTAGTGATGGCAATGGTAACCATAGTAGTAGTAGTGAAATAATGATGGTGTTTATGGAAATAATAACAGTGGTAAAGAAGGTGGTGGTGGGTGGTGGTGGAGGCGGCAACGGTGATGGTGGTGATAGCGATAACGATGGTGGTATTGGTGAAAGTTGTAAAGTTATAACAATGTATGTTAATACTAATATATAAGATATAAGTATTTGTAAATTCAATGACATTAAATAAGTTTTCTATCATTTAAATTTTTTGTATTTTTTAGGCTACATTTTTAGAATTACTTAAATTTTTAAGTGATACTATTTGTAATTATCAAACATACTTAATTAATTTTAATTTAATCCATTCAAATTTAAATACTGAATTAAGTTATCAAACAACACATTAAATAATCTAATTAATTTATATTTCTCAATAAGATTATCTCATCTGAACTCTCAACCCATGCCTTGCAGGGGCTTTTTCTTCACTAGTGTATATATATATATATATATATTTGCGCTATACTACTAGAATTTTTGTACAAAAATTAAAAAAGTCTACTAACTCAGAAATCGATTACAACATTTAAAGTTTGGAAATGGTTTGTCTTTAGTTAAAATTTCAACTAAATTTGACCGGTAAGAGTCATTAAATGGAACTCTTACTGGTAAACGCCTTTGAAAAAATTCAATTGGTTTAATAAACTCTTGTTGATAAGAGTCTTTCATTTAATAACTTTTACCGGTCAGTGACCTCAACTGTCTAATTCAATTCAACTTTCAACTGGAGACAAGTCAAATCCTTAAAGCTTTAGTGGTCAAATTTTTTTGTCCATAAAATAAAATTTTTGATGCAAAAAATATTTAAGGACCAATTCCTATTGTTATGAGAATAGTCATTAAAAGTAATCTTGAAAGTTTAAAAAATAGACTTTTAAAATTTTAAAATTGTTGCAAATAAATGCGACAAAATAGTTTGGTCTAAACAAAGTTTATTTTTTCACACAAAAATTTTAGTCTCAATTCATCACTAAATGTTCAATTATATCGCTAAAAATATAATAATAACACTTTTGATAACAAAAATATTTTGTTTCTAAAAAGTGATTTTGTCCATAACTTTTTGTATCTAAAATCTTAGTTGTTATTGTGATCATAGAATCCAAAAGAAAAGGTTGTATTCAATTATGTGATCAATTTTTTAACTCTTAAAAGAATTGAAAAGAAAAATTAAATAAAATAATAAGTGATTTTTTGATTTTTTAATTTGAAATCAAATACTTGTCACTATAATTTATAGATTAATGTTGCACCCACACAATATTTTTCTCCGAATGTGTTTCTAACCCCGAAAAAAAAGACTCGGACCAATAAGAAAATTTACGAGAAATTCGGAAAGAAAAATTATGCGGATGCAACATTACTCTAATTTATAATAACAAAAATACCACTTTCACGTGACAAGAAATTTTTGTATCTTATTCGTTTTAGGTAGATTTACATTGTACTAGTATTTTTATTTTTTTTCTATGTTTTCTCGATTGGAATGAAATATTGCAAAATTCCCAAGTAATTGCGACAAGAGGAATGGTAGGAACCTAAAAAAATTATCAGAAATTTTATTTAAACGTGGGTGTGGACCACATCGAACTTTGGTTTGTGTTTCATAATTTTTTTTTTTTTAAAAAATAAAAATAAAAACTATAAAAATATATATCAAAAATATAATTTTAAATTTTTAAAAATTATTTTTGACCTCCCTAAAGATAAATTTATATAATAATAATAAGTGTTTTTGATTTTTTTTATTTCTTTCACAAATTAATTTTTAATTTAAAAAAATCAAACAAATTTATAAAAATCAAACAAAACATGACTAGTCGGATATTTTTTGCATATTATTACAATCTTACGCTTTATTTAATTCATAAGTTGAATTACAAAAAAATAATTTATTTGGAGATATGTAATCCCGTAAGTCTAATTTTAGGGATGACATTTTAGTCATGTCTCTTACCCATGTCGGATAAAATTATCTCGATATAAAATTGCCACATGAAATTAGTTATCTTATGTTAGTTTTGCTCTCCAAAAGCTAGATTATTAATCTCAACAACGCGGGGGCTCAAAGTTTTTGGAAATCTTAGGCCAAAGCTAAAAACGAGGCATTCTTTTATTAGGTTTTTGAGAAATGAGCAACATTAGGGATTTTTAAAAAATTGTCAAATATTTTACATAGTACTAACATAGGGGTGGGACACACATCAACGGGATTTACATGGGACTCACACCCATATGTAAGTATTGTGTAAAATATTTAGTAATTCATTTATGCTGTGTTTGGGTGAGGGATTTGAAGAGAGATTTGGAAAGATAAATGAAAAAAGTAGGTGAAATGTGAAAAAAATATGCCTACATTTCACATAGTTTCACACACCTTTTCCCTTTCCCTTTCTAAATCCCCCAACCAAACACAGCGTTAGGGTTTCTAACATTTTTGTTTAAGAATTTGTGCCTTTAGGAATAGAATTTTTTAAAGATTTTGTTGATAGGCCTTAGGTGACAAGTTAAGTAGCCTAATGATTAAGTCACCTCTCATCACACCTATGATCACAACACATGCTATAAAACCATAATTTTTGTATATAAATTACATCTAAATTTACGTGAAAATGATAATTTTAAAATAATTGTGATCCAAATGCTATTCAGTTGCAAATCAATAGATTGGAAGTGAAACATATATGCTTCAGTGCAAGTAAGAGGGTACCCTGTATACAATTTTCATCTGCACTCACTTACAATTGGCAATTAATTTTCTCATTTATCATTTATGTGATATTTTTCCAAATTTTATAAACAACTATATTTGTGTAACATCTATTATCATATTATATAAAGCAAACTCTCTATTTAGTATGAATTTTGTCACATTTTTTTTTCCAATAATGCCCTTTACATCTAATAACTGTAAATTTTAATAAATGTTGAACAATTTTTAAAATGGCCTAAAATTGCTAAATAATTTTCCCCATTGATCGAGCAGATCCTCAAACATTAAATCATCCGAAAAAAATTATATAAAATTATAAATGCATTGTGTTTGCACCTACTATTATTTACTTTTATTTCTACAAGTACTTTGCCTACATAATTGAGAATTTCTTCTTTTTTTTTTTTTTTTTTTAAACAGATTGAGTCAATTCCAAAGACATTTTCATCAACTAGAGATTACATGAAGTCATTTATTGACCCTCTTATTGAGGAAACCCATGCTGATTTGCTCTCAAGCATTAATATGGTGCCACATGCACCTACCTGTGAAATACTAGCCATTGCAAGATCAAAAGGCCACAAGCCTCCAAAGGACTTATACTACACCATTTCACTGAAGAGACTGAGTGATACTGCAAATACTCATGAAGGAATGTATAAGCCTGAGATTGGAGATCTCATTGCCTTGACAAATGTTAGACCAAGACATGTCAATGACCTAAACAGGCCTAGAAGTCCTTATGTTGTTGCTTTAGTTCATGGTACGAAAGATGATTCTGATGACATTGCAATACTGTCATCCAAGCCTATAATGTTTGATGCCGATGGACAAAAGCATAAGATCCAGACTAAGAGAAGTCTTTTTGCTGTTTATGTTACAAACATGGTAACCAATGTTCGTGTGTGGATGTCATTGAACTCGGAGCTGGAAGGTGGGAACATGAACATCATTAAAGGAGTGCTGCACTCTGATTGCACAGTAAGAATCCATAATTCATTCTTTTACTTATAACTATTTTTTCATAGTTATTTCCAAACAAGAAACTAATCATGAGTATCCATGTATATGGTGATATGAAATGATGGAGCAAAATCAGTGACACCTCCATTTCTCTTCTTGTATTGGCAACAATATTGTTTACGTAAACCCTCCATTTGCAGTATTACCACCAGAATGCAGTGTTGGCTGCACTCCATTCATCTTAAATGGCGCTCACGCTCCATTAGAGTGAATATAGTATCAACACTGTATTTTGTGCACTTATGTGAAAAATTATTGTAATAACATCATTACTACGTGTATGAAACCTTCCTTTGTAGTATTATTGCCAAAATGTAGTGATAGCAACTCTGTATTCATCTTAGATGAAGCTCACAATCTACGACGATAAATATAATATTGCCAACACTGTATTTTGTGCATTTTTCTAGAAAAATTGTTGTGTCTGTAGCATTAATGTTGACATGAAACCTGTCACTATCATGTTCCTCTGCTGCCAGACTTGTCCATTCAAACAACAAATGTGATTTTATGGTTGTAAACCTTGAGTAAATTATTCATACCTCTCTTATCTATTATTCATATTTTTAGCATTTTTAATTTCTTACTTAATTTAGGTTAATGATCAACAGGTTAATTTCTTACTTACATGCATCATTTTCAATTGTTTGAACTCCTTACAGACTAAGACAAATTGTACCCAGTGTTTGTATCAAGCGAATAACAGTGCTGCTATATCCAATGCGACTAATGCCATTAGCTCATTTAATCTGGATGATTCCCAAAAGGCTGCTGTTTTAAGTTGTGTTGCTACGCGAGAATGTCATCATCAGAACACAGTCAAGCTAATATGGGGGCCTCCTGGGACTGGAAAAACTAAGACACTCGCTTCATTATTGTTTGCTCTATTGGGAATGAAATGCAGAACACTGACCTGTGCCCCAACAAACATTGCAGTGTTGGGAGTTACTGCAAGGCTTATGAGTTTGATGAGGGATGCAACTGAGTACAATACTTATGGATTGGGAGATATAGTTTTGTTTGGTAACGGGAAGCGAATGAAGATTGATGATCATGAAGACCTTTATGATGTATTTCTCGATCATCGAGTTTCTATTCTTGCCCATTGTTTTGCTCCACGGTTTGGGTGGACAAATAGTTTAGAATCAATTATATGCCTATTTGAAGACCCTAAAGAACTGTACAATTTGTATGTGCAAAAAGAAAGAGAGAAGGATAAGAAGAAGGTGGGGAAAGATAATGGTGATGATGAAAAAGAGGAGGTAGAGAAGACAAATTTTGGAAATAGGCCTGTTGATAGCAATCAAGACAAAGAGGGTGATGATTTTTATGATCAAGACTTCAAAGATTTGGATGAAAAAGAAATTTGGAGGAGGACCATTGTTCAATCCTTGAAGGCAAACAAGAACAAGAAAAAACAGAACAATGAGACTTCTCAAAGAAAAAGTCAATTGAAATGTGATAAAGGAGAGGATAACTCCACTCAAAGCAAGGGAAAAAGAGGTGAACTGGAGAAAAAGTGCGAAAATCTTATGACATTTGGAGAGTTTATCATGAAGCGGTATAAATCCAGTGGAGGACAACTAATCTTTTATATTACAAGTTTGTTGACCCATATGCCAACCTCTTTCTTTTCATTGGAAGTAAAAAAGAAGATGATTAGAGCTCTTGATCTGCTGAAATCTGTTGAAACTTCATTGCATTGTCGTGCTATTGCAGATAAGGGTTTGAGAGAAATCCCCATTTATGGAGTTGACGGTGTAGGAAACGATATTGTTTCCGCTATGACAGAGTGCTGTCAAATACTCAAATCCCTTCACAAAAGTCTATCCGTGCCAAATATTACTGAACATGATCAAATACGAAGTTTTTGCTTGCAAAATGCCTGTTTGATATTCTGCACTGCCTCAAGCTCGGCTAAATTGCACACAGAAGGAATCGCACCACTGGAACTTTTGGTTATTGATGAAGCTGCTCAGCTCAAAGAATGTGAATCCACTATTGCCTTACAACTTCCTGGTTGCGCCACGCTATACTCATTGGGGATGAACTACAACTATCTGCAATGGTCCAGAGCAAGGTTTCTTGTTTAATTTTTTTTTTTCCTTTTTTCTTTTGTTATAATCTTTCATAAAATGCTTCTATTATGTTAATACATTGAAAATCTATTATTGATAGATATGCCAGGGGACTGAATTTGGAAGAAGCTTATTCGAGAGGTTGGTACTATTAGGACACAAGAAACATCTTCTTAATGTCCAGTACAGAATGCATCCATCAATAAGCTCATTTCCGAATAGGGAGTTCTATGACAACAAGGTTTTGGATGCTCCGAATGTCAAGCAGAGAACGTATGAGAAGCGTTTTCTTCAAGGAAACATGTATGGCTCCTATTCTTTCATAAATGTAACCAATGGCATAGAGGACCTAGATAGCAAACATAGCACAAAAAATATGGTGGAGGTAGCTGTGGTTGCAGAGATTGTTTCAAACCTTTTTAAAGGTATACTTTCCTATTATCAATAGAAAAAGTCGTAAAATATACTTTTTTGAAACTTTTTAGTGTTTAGTTGGCTTTGACTGCATTTTTCCACTATTGCAGACTCTGTGGCCTCAAAACAGAAGGTCCGGGTTGGTTGCATATCTCCATATAAGGCTCAAGTGTTTGCACTTCAAGAAAAACTTGGAAAAACATACGACATAGATGGAAACAGTGACTTCTCTGTAAGTGTCCGATCTATTGATGGGTTTCAAGGTGGTGAGGAGGATCTAATAATCATCTCTACAGTGAGATGTAACCGCCGTGGATCTGTGGGCTTCCTTTCCAATTGTCAAAGAACCAATGTGGTTCTCACTCGAGCAAGGTATTGTTTTTGAATAAATGAATACATTGTGATAATTAGCTTTACTGTATATTGTAATGTTCATCTTTGCTTTCTTGGTTTAGGCATGGTCTCTGGATATTGGGGAATGGTGCTACTTTAATGAACAGCGGCACTGTCTGGGAGAAATTAGTCCTAGATGCCAAGGCTCGGGGTTGTTTTTATAATGCTAACAATGATAACAACTTGGCTCAAGCTGTTGTAGGTGCTTTAGTTGAGCTCAACCAACTTGATACATTACTCAAAATAGATTCCCCTTTATTTAGCGATATGAGATGGAAGGTATGTTGTTGGATTTATTTCTCTAAACTTGTACTATTAATTCATATCAAAGATTTTGGCAGCATGCCTCTTTAGAATTTTTTTCGGAAATAGTTTTCTTGAAAAAAAATTTAAGTAACTTAGAAAGAATTATGACATTTTACTTTCTCTATAAGCTAAGAAATTTGTCTTTTGCAACTACTTGGTCCTTGAAGTTGTTGACCTCAATTCTATTATTTTTGGTCATCTTAACTCTACTCTTGGCTATGCTAATGGAAAAAATCAAGAAAAATGTCATTAATCAGATCAAATTTGGATGCTTATGATTTAACCAATAACTATCTGAATTTTTACAATTAGATGTTTTGGAAGATTATGATTCAACTAATAACTACCTTTACTTTTACAATTAGGTGTTCAATGTCTAATGGCATCAATCCATGTATGATGTTGATGACCTTTATTTTTGTTTATAGGTTCGTTTTGGTGATGATTTTGTGAGATCAATGACTACAATGAAAAACATAAACACTTGTAAGGAAGTGTTTTCTCTCTTAATAAAGCTTTCAAGTGGCTGGCGAGAGCATGATCATCAAATGGACAACGTTCTAGACATGAATGGGACTTGTTCTCAACTGTTGGACGTGTACAATGTCAATGGATTTCTAAATCTCATATGGAGTGTAGACATTGTCAGGGAATATTCAAAATACACTCAGGTTCTAAAAGTTTGGGACGTTCTACCACTGACCGAGATACCAAAACTAGCTAAGCGCGTTGACACGATATTTGTGGATTATGAAGTTGAGAAGATCAACCGGTGCAAATGCAAAAAATTTGAAGGGTATAATTCACTACTAAAAGACTGATTTATTTTTTTTCGTAGCAACTTGCCATCGAAATTACTATTTTGCCCTCTCAAATGAGTATTTGAGATATTCTTGTGGTGGCATTTGGGGTAAGGCAAAAGAAGTATCGAAAAAGTTATTTGTGATGAGCCTTTGCTAATATGACAAATATATATATATATATATATATAGTGAAAGATACCAAAGCAAAAATCATCACAAAAAATATTTTTTAATTGACATATTAGCAACAACATGTGCTGTCAAAAAAAAAAAGAAAAACTCATTAGTGATGGTATGTGCTACTGCAAACAGTGACTTAAAATTTGAAATACCTAAAATTTCACAAATTCTTTTCAAACACTTGTATTTATGTATGCAAATAATGGCATGGAATTTTAAAAATCCAAAAGAAATTAAAATTACCTGTATAACATGATGTTGTATCTTCCTTTTGACATATTTCCCTCCTAATGAATTGTTTTATTGAGTTAGTTTTTTGGCTTGGAAAAAAATATGAGAAGCTCTAAAAAGGTTGCTGATCATAAATTTTTTTTTTCTATAATATTTCGATTGCCACAGGAATTTAGTAGTTCCAGAGACATGGCCAATCGGCTCAACTGATCATGTACTGTTCTTAGAAAGCCAAGTAGCTTCATTGAGTCTGAAGGATGAGCCTGGATCATCAAATAGTAGTAGGTGAGTATTTGGTTTAAATCACTTGTGGAAATAGATGATTAAGTTTTCTTTTATTTTCATTTATTTGTGTCAATGTTTTTATCAATGGAATGAAGTGTTATTTTCCAGTGATTGTGTGTGTAATTGAAATGTATTAAAACAAAGAATTAAATAATTCAGAAAATAATAAAATAAATTAAATTCTTATGCTTGTGTTGGGCACTTTAAGTCGCCACTTGTGTTGGACACAATTTCACCCTCGCTCCGGTGGTTTGAGATTTACTGGCATCTATTTCTCAGAATGCAACGACTACTACTTGATTTGCAGCATTACAATATCAAGTCTGGTGAACCAAACAATGTTGTAACTCTTTCTTTCTCTTCCTATAGACTAAATGCTGAACAAATGCAGGAGCACAGGAAGACAAAAAGAAGAAGTAGAAGGAAGAGATGTTTGGAAAAAATTGGATTCTGAATTGTTGGAATGACAGGCTATTTATAGCCAACCATGCACTTGTTCGAGTAGGCCTAGGTTGCTGCTCGGCCATGGCCGGAAAGTTGTGATCGAAACGGTATTGGTTCAGAAAGGAAATGAATTTGAATTTGAAATTTTGGCGCAAATTTTGAATTATTTCTATAAGGATTTCAAAATTTTCTTGCAAGAATTTGAAAAAATTTAAATGAATTTTATCCAAAATATTAAAGTTTCGACCCAACCCACACTCGAGCCCGGCTTGGCCCGGCGGCGCGCACGTGTGTAGTGGTTTTGGTCAAAGCATATTTTGTCTATAACTCCCCTCCTTTCAAAACTTGAGGTTCCCCTGGGACCCATTCCAAGTATGGCAAGCTAGAGTTTATATGAGTATATAAACTCTCTCTTTGTTTTAATGTGGGACAAGCCATTTAATGAGTAAACTCACATTGTCTCTTCAACTTTCATATTCATGAACCCAAAAATGTGCGTTGAATTATTATTCATCCGGAAATGGTTTTGAGCAATCAAATACACGATATTATTCATTACATGACATTAAATATGAACCCATTTGCAAACGTCAAAAATAATGCTTGAGTCCTATCTTAATTAATGCTCAAGATTAACAAAAAAAAATAGGATACTTACAAAGCCATTTTCCAACATGAAGATGGTAAAGCTATTGGAATTTTTAAAAAAATGGTGGCAAAGTGATGCAGCTGCATAGGAGAAAGAAGAAAAATACTTGGCTTCATGGGAACATCTAAAGGGCAACAAATCTGTGGAGAAATAAAGCCAAAGGGTCTTATAGACATAGGCTTTGTTTGGCATACCATGTTTAGGCTAAAATAGTAATAAAAAGATAAAATATGATTTTTAGCTCAATAAGACCAAATTATATCCAAACTATAATTATTTCATTTTTTCTCTCACAAAAGTCAAAAAAATCAAAAAACTTATCCCAAACGAGTCTTTTTAACTCAAGACTAAAATAATTAAAAAATTAAAAAATCAATTCACATTCCAAACGAAGGCATAGTAGGTTGCTACCATACCAACAGTATGCTACAAACCGTCAAGAAATTTCAAAAAAAAATGCACAAAGTACAGTGCTGCACTTTTATGGAGAAAAAAAAAATGTGTTCGTACAGTTTTTCATAGTACAATTATTGTGTTTTAAGTCTTTTTTTTTTTTTTTTGGTGAAGCATTTCAACAGTTTCAAGATTAAAACATTTTACTAGTTTAGACTTCTAAAGCCGTTTCATATGTGCCAAAATTATGCATCCTATTGAATCCAAATTTTATGAAGTTAAGTTGTGTTTTGTAAAGTATATTGTTAAGTTATATAATAATTCATGAAGTACAAGTGTATTATGCTGTTTTAGCAATCCATTTAAAAGCTAATTTTTAGCTTTTAACTTATTTGGGTCACATTACTTCTCACATTTTTTATTCACAAAAAGACAAAATAGTCTAAAAAAAAGGGGGGGAAAATCAGTTTAAGGTCTCTATCCAACTTTTAGTAATGGATTAGGTCCACAATGTGTTCTTTTGTAGCCTAAGGTCCCTCAATGTTATTTTAGAGTGTAAAATACCTGTCTTACCCTTGTTTATAATATACGTTGTTTTGAATTTGGCAGCTAAAGATCATATTGATATTTTGTGGGAGATTACGTGAGGATGAACTTGACGATTCAGATTTTTGTGGAGATTTTCTAGGGTTTTTGTAGGTGTTGAAATCCTGTTCGTTGTTTGTAGGTGTTGAAATCCTGTACGAGTTGAAATCATGTTCGTTGTTTGTAGGTGTTGATCGATTGTGTAGGAGTTGAAATCTGGTTCATTGTGTTTGATTTGGTTTCATGTGGAGTTGAATTAGATAAGTTTTCAATTTTTTATTTGATTTGATCATGTAAGTTTTGAATTAGGCTTTTGTTTTTAGTTTTGATCAATGTAAGAGAGACGAACTCAGTGTTGTTGTTTTTTATTTTTGAAGTTAATTTTTCATTATCTGTTATTGATGAATTTTCAATGGAGTTGATTTTGATTTTTGGAGTTGCTTTTTCATTCTCTGTCAACATGGTTATGAGTTGCTTTTTGGTGCTCTGTTTTTTCTGCGTTTTTGTGCTCTGTTTTTTGTTCACTTTGCATTTTTTGTGTAGTGCAGAGAAAATTGCAGGTTTGTTACTATAATTGAACTCAAATCACAGAGAAAATTGTAAGCTTGTAGTGCAGTGAAAATCACCGAGAAAATTGTAAGTAGGCAGAGAAATTTACAGACGTAGCAATAGAGTAGTAAGTGTTTTGTTTTTTTTTTTTTAAATTTTTTGAATTGAATGTTTTGTGAACATAACAGATCTTCTCTGTGATTTTTTTATGTGCTTGTGTTTAATATATTTTTGTCTCTTGATGTTAATGTGTTTTTGTTTTTGTTATATTGAAAGTGAATATAAGTTCACAAATTTCTCTGGACTTTTCTTTGTAGTCCAGAGAAAATCATATGATTGCATTACAAATGATAAGTATTACAAATTTCTCTGGACTTATATGTTGTGTTTTTATGTGTTTGCACTTTTCAAAGTTTTCTGATATGTTTTCTTTGAACTTTTCATTTTTTTTTTTTTGCACTATTCATGTTTCTGGACTTTTCTTTGTAGTATAGAGAAAATCGTAGGTTTGTTATTATAATCCAATGAAAATGACAGAGAAAATGTTAAACTTGTAGTTGAGTGAAAATCACCCTTGAAGTTGGTGTCTTGATCTTGATGCTTATTACTTCTTCAACTTGGACTTGTTTTTTTTGTGGTGTTCTAGTGCTGCTACTGCGTTTTGATCTAAGATCATAAGACGCAAACACAGAGACTTTTGGTTTCTTTTTCGGAGTTTCTGGGGTTGTGTTGCTTCTGCACTTTGCCATTTCTATAGAATGAAAACATAAACATTAAATCCCAGAGAAAATTACAAGGTAGCAACATAAACACGACAGAGAAAATTACACAACAAAGAAATTTTGAGGAAATGGAGCATTAAACAAAATAAATATGCCAGAGAAAATTAGACACAAGACATAAACATAATGTGGCCAGAGAAAATTATAAATGCCAGAGAAAATTAGCCACACCAATAGAGTAATAAGCCACAGATAATTTGCTTGAGAAAATAATGAAGAAACATAAACATGCCAGATAAAATTACACAATAGAGAAACACAAATGTAGCAAGCCAGAGAAATTTACAAAAACAAGAACACAAGAAGCTTCAATAAGAAGCCCCAAATGTACAGAAAGCAGTTCAATTTTGACAGTTGGAAGGAAAGCAACCCATCATCAGTTGGAAGCAAAGAAATTCTGGACTTCCAAAGAATTTCTCTGGATTCAACCCAGAGAAATTCATACCATTAAGTTTAAAGAAAATCTATCACAAACTCATAGAAGAACTATTAATTTGTTTGTGCAGGAAATTGTGATTGAATCAGCAGCAGCAAAACCAATGACAAATCGATCAAATTAGAGTTTTATCGTTCCAGAGAAATTCTGGACCAGAGAAATTTTTCTCTGGGTTGAATCCAGAGAAAATTCAAATTTCTCTGAACCTGAAGATATTATATTCAACACTGGATGAATATATATATATATATATGTTTGCAACCATAGATAAGATAACTAAGAGTGACTGTTTGATTATGGTTGCAAATGGTCTTAATTGATTAATTATGATATATATACTAGTCAAGACAGTAAGCAACAGATTGTATATATATATGTATGTATCATATATATATATATATATATACATCTATCAACTCCACTCCACTCCACTCTGTTTGTTTACCCAGAAAATCAAATTTGCCAAACTTAGTGCTTTTGTTATATTGAATTTGTTTTCGTACTCGCCGGAAAATACCCAACACCAGTACCAACATCACAAAGGAGAATATCCAGTAGATAGGTCAAAAAAATCAACTCATCTGAAGATGAACAGACGTAGGGTATTTTGGTCCAAGAAATTGATAAAATGTGCGGGTATTTTGGTTAGGGACCTGAGGCAGTATTACATTTTTTAATGTCCTTTATACAGAAAATTGTTATTATTAGGAAGCTTAAAAAAAAAATCCCAAATTTTTTTTTCAAAAAAATAACTTTTAACTAACTTCTCAAAACACCCCAAACTCATATATTTCCTTTCTTCTTCTAAATCTTACGCTCATGCATGTCCACAAAGTAGAGTAATATGTTTTTGCTGGAGATGTATTTTGTAAAGTAAGAAGCTTCATTTGAATTTTAATATTTTTTTCCTCTCATAAATTTTTAATATCCAAATATAACATGATGATATTGTTATGCTCTCCTTTTAGCACCAAAAGATACATAAATACATATAATAAAAAAATAATCAAATTATCTACTTTGACTATTATAACTGTACTATCTGTTTTTTTATTCATGCAAGTGGCCTTGGATTACTTGTCAAAAAATTGATTAAAATATAATATAAAAACATTCACTAAAAACAAAAGAAAATTTGTTTAAAATAATTTTTAAAAAATCAAATCAATTAAAATCGAAACCGCAAAGGCTGAATTTGGTGTCTTGAAGTACAGAAGACTCAAAATCAAAATCTTCGGTCTGAAAAAAAAAACTCTTACCACTTGAGTAACTCACATATTGTGATATTAATTTTTTTTATTATTTGTTTTTAACTTTACTTGTTAAAACCGCTTATTTTGTAAGGTTTTCTAAAAAAAAAACATACTGTTAGAAAACTAACAAACAACTCTTTAATTTTTAAACTTATTTTCGTAAATGTGAAAAGAATTCAATTTCCAAAACATTTATATTTTCAAAATTAAATATAAAAATCTGATATGAAATGGTGCTCAAAATTTTATTGAAACTGCATTTCAACTAATTATATTTGGCCCAAAAGCAAAGTTAAAAAAAATCATATTTGACAAGTGATTGTATCCTGATAGCAAATATATATATATATATATATTTGTTAAGTTCTATCGATATAACACGCCACATACTAATTTCATAATAAGTGATTCATAACTATTTTATTTCTTTTTCAATGAAAGTATTCCTCTAGTATAAATTTAAAACTCATATAATAAAGTAGGTTTATCCAAAAAAAAAATGTCACGTCATATATTTTTTAAAAATAAATTAATGTAATGTGTAATAAAAAAATATCAGAATATGAAATGTACCCACTAAAATTAAACGAAGGAATTGTCATATTATGCCTCATTTGGAAACGGATTTTTTTAGTAATTTTATAATTTTTTTGCTAAAATATGATATAAAAAAATTAATATATTTTGAATGACTTTTTAATTTTTATGAAAAGATGTGAAAAAGGTAAAGAGAAAAGAGAATCTTTAACTTTTTGGTATATATTATTGGCTTTTTTTTTTATTTTTTTAGTAAACTTTTAGCTTTTAGGCTAAAAATGATGTTGCCAAATGAGACCTAAGTTTGTAAATTTAATTTGAATGAAAAATTAATTTATATAACATTACTTATTAAATAATTTGTCAGAAAAAAAGAAGAATTTATTAAAAAATTCTCTAGTTATATTTTAATTAGTTCATAAATATTCATATATTTCAATAGATCTTATTATTTTAAATATTTGATTTATCAAATCCCAATTTTTGTATTAAAGTATTTTGTGTACAATTTTAATCTTGTAAATATTTTTTGAACTCTTAATAACTTAGTGATATTCATATTCATATTCATATTAAAATTAATTTGACAATATAAATGTTTACATTATAAAACATTTAATTTGGGAACATGCTATTTTAGTAATTTTTTGACTTTTTGGTTAAAATGTGATGTAAAAATAATTAGTATGTTTGAGATGATTTTTTGATTTTTTACGAAAAGAAATAGAATCTTTGACTTTTTTGTACGAGTTGTTAGCTTTTTGATTTTTTTATTAACTTTTTGACTTTTGGGCTAAAAAAGCCACTTGCCAAACGAGGCCTTAGTCTTTATTTGGGATGTGAATTGATTTTTTAACTTTTTATTTTTTTTTTATTTTTTGATTATTTTAATCTGAAACTAAAAAGTTTTGTTTGGGAAAGATTTTTTTGACTTTTTTGAATTTGTAATAAAAAAAAAATGATTATAAGTTTGATATGATATTTTATCCTATTTAGCTAAAATAACTAATTTTATCCTATATAACTATTTTAGCCCAAAGCAATATCCCAAACATAAGTCCATGCTTTTGAAGTAATACTAATTTTTCTTGAGATTTTAATTTAAATAATATCTAATCTAAAAAAAAAAATTCACATAACACAAATCTCATTTCATTAGTGATTTTTAAGTCGTATAGATAAAAAATAACATTATTATATTTTTTTATTAAAATATATATATATATATACCATTGTTTATTTAAGTATTTATTATCATTTGCATTAATTTTGATAATTTTAAACTTTAATAAAAAAAATTGGTATAATTATGCCAAAGTTATAGGGTTAATCGTATTTTATTTTTCAAATCCCAAGAGAGATGAGTGTAATTTATCCTAAAATTATAAGAAATATTTACACATTAAGCAGATCTTAAACAAGCTTTTAACAAGTCGAACACAAGTCAAACTCACATAGCTTACTTTTTATAGTGTGTACATTAAGCTGAGGATTAAGTTATTTGAGTTTAAGTAAAAATTTAACGAATTTAAAATTATATTTAAATTTAATTTGTTTATATAATGAACCAATCTCAAAACGAACATTTAACGAGTTCAACACGAGCATTTAATCACTTTGTTTTGTTTTGTTTTATTTATTTATTTATTTTATTATTGATAGCCACCTCTCATTTTTACTGGTCGTCCATCGGCACCCATCCTCTCCAATTCATTGCCACATTTCATCCATTTTTTCCGTCCACTGCTACCCTTCTCATTCTTTCCCAAGTCCATAGCAGCCACCACTGTTTAGTACTACTAATAAACATTGATTAAATTGTCTAAATTATCATTATTCTATTAGTTGTAAGTTATAACTACCGAAGTTTAGAATTCACACAATTTTAAAAATAAATAATTTAAATTGGAACAATAAAAAAGTTTAAAGGGTTGTTTGGGATGACCTAAATAAGTGCACTTTTTATCTTTTTACGAAAAGATGTGCAGAAAAGTAGAGAAGTAATGTGATAGAAAAAAGATAAAAAGATGGATTATTTTGATGTTGTCAAACTTGACCTAAATTTATTTGTTCGTCTGGATCCTAGCGTTTTATTTATTTATTTTTTATATACTTATTTTTTAATTTCCCCAATTTGTTTTTTAAAAACTTTTTTAACCCTTTTTGAGGGGGGTGTTTTCGTCAATTCAAATTCTTGATTTGTCTTCTTCATCCCCAAGTAACAAAAGCCAAACCCCCCCGCGTGTGGTGGTGGAAATGGTGGCGGGTGGTGGCTAGTGTTGGGTGGAAAAAAAAAAAAATTCAAAACTCAAAATTCAAAACGAAAACACATTTTTTATGTTTTCATTTTTTGGCCAAATTTATAAACTGAGACCACTGATTTATAAATCAAAAATCTTATCAAACAAGTTTTTATTTGAGTTTTTAAAATTTTTGTAAATATAAATAAAAAACTGAAAACGTAAGTGTTACCAAACGGCACCTACCCTTCTCATTCTTTCCCAAGTCCATAGCAGCCACCACTGTTTAGTACTACTAATAAACATTGATTAAATTGTCTAAATTATCATTATTCTATTAGTTATAAGTTATAACTACCAAAGTTTAGAATTGACACAATTTTAAAAATAAATAATTTAAATTGGAACAATAAAAAAGTTAAAATTTATTTGTTCGTCTGGATCCTAGCGTTTTATTTATTTATTTTTTATATACTTAGAACAAGTTTGGAAAGACTAAATAAGTGTATTTTTTGACTTTTTATGAAATATGGGTTGGATTTGGGTTGGATTTGAAGTGATGTGTTAGAAATGTGATGTGACTTAAATAAGATGATGTGACTTAAATAAGATAATGATTTTTTGACTTTTTAAATTTTTTAAAGGATGCCAAACTTGACCTTATTTTTTAATTTCCCCAATTTGTTTTTTAAAAACTTTTTTAGCCCTTTCTGAGGGGGGTGTTTTCGTCAATTCAAATTCTTGATTTGTCTTCTTCATTCCCAAGAAACAAAAGCCAAACCCCCCCGCGTGAAATCCAACAATTGACGTTCTCCGGAAACCCTCAAGACGCCATTTTCATCACCCAAATCTCGCTCTTCCTTCAACGTCTCTTTGAACTGTAAGTTTCAAAACAATCTCATGCAAATCTTCACACAATCTCTGCTCATCTCTATTCACACGCAAAAAAAAAATTCGAAGAATAGAATAGCTGAATGTAAATAGATTTTCGTATCATACATCTTCATATCTTTGATTTGGTTTGTCTTCCAAATTCTGATCTTTATTATTCATAATCGCTTCCATGGCAATAAAACCCTGTTTTAGAATCCTCATTCATTGCCGAGACAAGGCCTTTTTTGGCTTCCCATCTCCAAAACTCCACCATTCATTCACCAATATTTCATCAAGTTTTAGATTTAATTTTGACCATAACTATAAATTCCATAGCTACTCGCCTCGAATCTTGGGTTTTCGAGGCGTGACTGATCGAACCCAGAAACCGTTTTATGCCCCTAATTCGAATTGGGGCCAATCTAGGGTTTTTTCCAGCACTTTCAATGGTGGTGGTGGTGGTGTAGGTAGGGGTGTATATGTGATTGCTAGTGCTGTATCGAGTGTTAGGAATTATTCGACTTCGGTTGAGACCCGTGTGAATGAAAAGAATTTCGAGAGGATATATGTTCAGGGTGGCATGAATGCGAAGCCTGTAGTAGAAAGAATTGATATAGATGAAAATATAGCGAGAGATGAGGAATCTAGGGTTCATGATGACGGTGAGAATGTAAATAATGAGAATTCAAAAGGTTTGGACAAGGTTGAGGTGTTAGATGCCCGTAAAGAAGAGTCTGAGATTGAGAAAGAAGCATGGAAGCTGTTGCAGCACGCAGTTGTGACATATTGTGGGAGCCCAATCGGAACAGTGGCAGCAAATGACCCGGCTGAAAAGCAACCACTTAACTACGATCAGGTCTTCATTCGTGATTTCGTTCCATCTGCCCTAGCTTTCCTGCTTAAGGGGGAGCCAGAGATTGTGAGGAACTTCCTCCTCCATACCTTGCAACTGCAGGTAATTCACATTGCTTTTATTGTTTTATTGTCCTGATTTCACCTTACCTTCACTTGTGATGTATCATCAAATAACAACATTGTAACCTCTAGGCTTTGTATTTAGAAATTAGGGTAAAATTACATCTTTCATCCAAATTTCACTTTGATCTCTCATTTTTCAATTTCAAGGATTAATCTTCAGATTTCTAGTTCTGGTTTATCCATTTCACATTCCTCCTCCATACCTTGCAACTGCAGGTAATTCACATTGCTTTTATTGTTTTATTGTCCTGATTTCACCTTACCTTCACTTGTGATGTATCATCAAATAACAACATTGTAACCTCTAGGTTTTGTATTTAGAAATTAGGGTAAAATTACATGATTCTTCTCATGAGCTACTGAAAAAATTATCTTACCTGTGCCAGTTCTCATTGACCATTGAATTGTATTAGTTTGCCTTTTGGTTTAGTGAAAACTTGACTGCATTTATGCTGTGGCATTTTGTGGAGTGATCAAAAAATCTTCTTCTTATGGTTTACAATGAGTGCACTCTCTGGCCCACCAAAGAAGGTTAATTTTACTATTGTATTCTGGGGATAATCAATAGTTAAGACTATTTATGGTACCAGCTATTTTTTATAACTGGTCGTCTGGTCCTTTTCGAATTTCTTTTTTATCATTTTATTGAGGAAATACATTAGACCTCCGTGTTTACTACTAGTACCTAGTTGGAAAGTTATGTCAGCTAGTATTCAATTTACTAGTAATTATGCCCATGTATTCATATTTGGTATTTGTGGAACTCTCGAACTGTTTTTCTTGTTTATTTGCTAGAGTTGGGAGAAAACAGTGGATTGCTACAGCCCAGGGCAGGGGTTGATGCCGGCAAGTTTTAAAGTTAGGACTGTGCCTCTTGATGAAAATAAGTTCGAAGAAGTTTTAGACCCGGATTTTGGTGAGTCAGCAATTGGCCGCGTTGCACCTGTGGACTCTGGTAAGCATATTCTTCCTCTATAGATGTCAATCAATCGACTTGTAACTTTTATGATGTTAAGGTCAATGCCATCTTTGTTGCTGTGTAGTTGTTTTGTTTTAGGATGTCCATTTTTTGCATCTATAAATCTCCAGAAGAGAATGATTTATAATTTAGTGGCCCCTTGAGTCACGCACCTAATGAATTTTGAGCCTTTTTTTTTTTTCTTTTTTTCTTTTTTTTTCTTTTCATCTTGACTTCTATGATAGGGTTGTGGTGGATTATCTTATTGAGAGCTTATGGGAAGATCACTGGTGACTACACCCTACAAGAAAGGGTGGACGTCCAGACGGGCATAAAACTCATTTTGAACTTGTGTTTGTCTGATGGATTTGATATGTTTCCTACCCTCTTAGTCACTGATGGCTCCTGCATGATAGACCGAAGGATGGGCATCCATGGTCATCCCCTTGAGATTCAAGTGAGTTGATTCCAAGTTGTTTGTACTTGTCTTGTCATATGTAGCTTGTGATCTTATTCATGGCTTTGAGCTACTGTTGCAATCATGTCCATATTTTAAACTATCAAGGAGTACTATTTTCAATTAATTGCTGTAGTTCTACATATATGCCTTTTGCTGGAGAAATGGTTAGTTTTAATGTTTGGTGGCTTCACTTAGTTATGAAGTTCTTTTTCGAGGTTTGAATGATTGAGACAGGCATATGTTTGCTTTGTTGGAAAAGCTGTAAGGTCTTTCACTTTCAGAGGTCAGTTTCACATGTGGCATGACTTAAACCTCTAATTAGCTTGCTCTGCATGTTTTCAATGCTGATATTCTTCCTAGTAATCGGGTTTGTAGTTTCCTGGAGAGTTGTTTTAATCTTGCGTCTTTTCTCTTTAGGAGAATACTAAATTGGAACAAAGTTGTAAGACATTGCATCCTGTATTCCGAGTCATATCAGTCTTATAGTTTTGAAGTGGTGTCCTTTGTTCTACGGATTTTTGGTTACAAATATTGTTGTTACCTTTTTCAACTCTAGTTGTTTTATCTGCTTTAGTCTTATCATATGAATGCCAAGTTTTGTTTTACAGGCCTTATTCTACTCGGCTCTGAGGTGCTCCCGGGAAATGCTCTCTGTAGATGATGCATCCAAGAATTTGGTGAGGGCCATAAACAATAGACTTAGTGCATTGTCATTTCACATCAGAGAATACTATTGGGTTGATATGAAAAAGATTAATGAGATATACAGATATAAGACAGAGGAATATTCCACAGATGCTACTAACAAGTTCAATATCTACCCCGAACAAATCCCTCATTGGCTAATGGATTGGATTCCAGAAAAGGGCGGTTATCTGATTGGCAATTTACAGCCGGCTCATATGGATTTTAGGTTCTTTACACTTGGAAATCTCTGGTCTATTGTTTCATCGTTGGGTACTCCTAAACAAAATGAGGCTATTTTGAATTTGATTGAAGTCAAGTGGGATGATCTCATGGGGCATATGCCTCTTAAGATATGTTACCCTGCTTTGGAATATGACGACTGGCGTATAATTACAGGCAGTGACCCAAAGAATACGTGAGTGCTCTATACTATTTTATGCTGTGTGTGTGTGGAATATGTATCACTGGTTTGGTTATGTTCTTTTACTGGTATTGATTATCATTCTATTGACTCTTGCAGCCCTTGGTCATATCACAACGGGGGATCTTGGCCAACCCTTTTATGGCAGGTAATTTTGTATTTGATGCTATTGTATTTGTACTAAGGGATGCCCATTGAATGCTTTTTAAAAATGAAAATAAAAATGGGTGCACACGTTGCTATGAAGGCAATGTCTTCCCAACTAGATGACGTAACCATGTCCTTATATAAGAATTATTGAATAATATGTGCCAAAATCTATGAAGCATGGACACGGCAAAATTGGTGCCGTGGTGGTGTTGGACACGGGGACATGCCAGATGGTGTGTCCCTTTAATTTGATTATTTTTTTTTGTATGGGACACGTTGGGGACACGCGCGTCCAGATCTGGACACATCATGAGACACGGCGAGGAGAGAGAGACAGAGGAGAGAGACTGTGAAGGAACAGAGTGAAAAGACAAACCTTCGACTCTAGTCGAACATCCAGTTGACTCGAACAATCGTTCGAACCATCGAACCATCGATCTCGTCTCGCTCGCATAGAACCATCGATCTTGTCTCGCATCGAACCATTGAACCATGTCTCGCTCGTGTCGTCTTCTCTCTCTCTTGCTCCGTCTCTCTCTCGCCGTTTCTGTGCCTTCGCTTTCTTTCTTATCTCTTATATATAAGATAATATTAATAAAATCATATTATTTTATAAGTATATATAACATAATATTTACTACTTATACATATTAATAAATAAATAAAAAACACATGAATATAAAATAAAATAAAATAAAAAATTACCAAAAACACATTATTTAAAATAAATAAATAAAATAACGTATATTAAAATAAAAATATATATGAAAAAAAAAATTGCCATGTTCCCTGCCATGTCCGTGTTCCCATTTTTTGGAAATTGCCGTGTCCCGTGCCCGTGTCCGTGTTCATGTCTGTGCTTCATAGGCCAAAATCAATTTCTTTTAATTTATTTGATATATGTAATTGTTTAACATAATTTTTAATAGATTGTGCCAAATTTTATGATAAATTAGAATTTTGATTCGTGATATGATTCTCAATTTGACAGTATGATAGGAACCATGACGTCAACCTCCTGATAGATACTCACCATTCATGCTGCTGGTATCTGCTTCCATTTTTGTGGGAATTTGGCTGCTCTATGATTCCTTGTTATTATAACTCAAACAAAAGGTCCAACGGTGAAAACGGTCATTTTTTGCTTCACTGATTTCAACTCCGTGGCTTTACTAAGTAAAAAATGTGATGGAACTAGGGGAAAATGGAATCAAGAAAGTCTCAAACAATAATTATGTACTTAAAAAAGTTGGAAACAATGAAATTAAAGAACATTTATATGCTTAAAGTAACAAGAGTTGTATATCTATTAATATTTGTCCTCAAACATGGTAGTTGAACAAGTTAGAAGAAGAATCAGTTTCCTTTTAGCAGGCTTGTCCAATCTGATTTTGGAAATCTGTTGCAATCATTGCTGATCATGGTTTCCTACCATAGGGTGCTACTGTGGTGCTGGATTTTTGTTTTGTGGTTTCAATGAAGAGTAAGAGGTGTATCCCTTTCCGCCCAGTGTAACCGTGTCCCGTGCATAAAGGTGTGAGATACGTGTCTAACACCCTTACACCATTTAAAAACTTGGATCCTCTAATATTATATGACGCTGGAAGATGAAGACGCTCACATTTGCTAGGAAAAAAACAATTCTAGCCTCTCACACGAATGTGGGAGATAAATTTTATATTTTTCACTAAATCCCATATAATTTGAGATACATTTCTAAATAATTTACAACATCTTATCTAAAACTAGTATACTATATACAATATCTTTAAGCTTTTAGGACTTGTCTCTGCACTCATACCAATTTTTTGATGCATATACCAATATATGAAGGTTTTTAAGTTTAGGATGATCGGACACCTGGTCATGCACCTGCACCTGCACCTGATAGTCCATGTGACATAGGTACTACTTGTTGGATGGCTTGATATACATTGTTGGGCCCATTTCTTAATAGCTTAAACTTTTGGGATAAGTAGTGATTTAACACTACCATCAAAATTATATGCTATTGAAAGAATGGAGGAGAAATAGAAGAGAGAAGAAAAAAAATGCCTTTTCTATCTATTGGATCTCTTTTGTTTGGGTAGTTATCTCTGAACCATTGATTAGTTTACATGCCTGTTTTTCTGTGGGTCTGTCGCGGTGTGCCAAGTTCTTTGGCCCATTTTTAGCTCGGAATCTCTTCTAAAATATATATGTACTAGGGATAACTTGTGCCTAAAGGCACTCCTAACCTAAGAAGCACGGACACGGACACGCGACACGACACGGACACGCAAAAACGCAAATTTTCAAAAAATAGGGGACACGACACGCTGGGGACACGTTCAATATATATAATTAATTTTCTCACGTAGACATAAAAGCATATCTATATGGAAAAATAATAATAATAATAATAAAAGCACACTTGCCAATGTTGTGCAAGTAAGGAAAAAAATTATAAACACTAACAACAGATACCATCCAGAGTACCTGTGTTGACACGACACGACATGACACAGGTGTAGGTAGGACTGCAAACAAATCGAACCGTGCCGTGCCGAGCCGAGCCGAGCCGAGCCGAGTTTTGTTGAGCTCGAGCTTGGCTCATTTACTTATCGAGCTCGTTTATTGAGCTTGAGATTAAGCTCGGCTTGGTAAAGAACTGGGCTCGAGCTCGGCTCGACTCAATAATTTTTTTTTTAATATTATTTATATTATTTAAATAAAAAATATTATTTATATTATTTGATATATATTTTAATATATTATTTAAATTATTTAATATTAAGTTAAGTGCATCAAGAGTGAGGATTCTAAGGTATTGGTGAAGGACGAAGAGATTAAGGAAAGATGGAAGAACTATTTTGAGAAACTATTAAATGAAGAACATGGAGGTACGGCAATAGGGGGAAGAAATAGTCAGTAATACGATAAACCAAGATTATAGGTTCTATCACAGGATTAGGAACTTTGAAGTGGAGATTGCACTTAAGAAAATGAAATCAAATAAAATTTTAGGACCCGATGATATCCCTATTGATGCTTGAAAGTGTTTGGGTAAAAAGGGGTTGCTTGGTTGACTAGGTTGTTTAGCAAAATTTTGTCAACTAGGAACATGCCAGATGAGTGGAGGAAGAGTATTTTAGTGCCAACCTATAAGAATAAAAGAGATATCCAGAATTGTAACAATTATAGAGGAATCAAGCTAATGTGTCATATAATGACAGGGTGATGGAACGCTGATTGCGAGTTATAACAGAAGTGTCAGAGAATCAATTTGGGTTTGTGCCTGGTAGGTCAACAATGGAAGCGATCTATTTTTTCAGGAGAGTAATGGAAAAGTATAGAGAAAAGAAAGAAACATTCATATGGTGTTTATCGACCTTGAGAAAGCATATGATAAAGTGCCCCGGGATATAATATGGTGGGTGTTAGAGAAGAAAGGGATGACAAAAGGTTACATTGATGTGATTAGGGACATGTACAAAGAGGTGGTGACCACTATTAGATCGCCTGCTGGAGAAACGAATGAATTTTCTATCACTGTAAGGTTACACCAAGTATCTACCTTAAGTTCTTATCTTTTTGTTTTAGTTATAGATGAGTTGACGAGAAATATTTAGGATGACGTGCCATAGTGTATGCTTTTTGGAATCGATATTATGCTAGTGGATGAGACTAGAGGAGGAGTTAACACAAAGTTGGAGATTTGGAGAAAAGTTCTTAAATCTAAAGGATTCCAGATAAGAAGAACTAAGACAGAGTACATGGAGTGTAAATTTAGTAACAGTAACAATGAAAGCAGAAAAGTGAAGATTGAGAATCAAGAACTGCCTAAGGGTGAACATTTTCATTATTTTGGGTCGATTATTACAATAACGGGGGAGATTGATGCAGATGTGACCCATAAGATTAAGGCGGGATGGTGTAAGTGAAGAAGTGTGTCTGGGGTACTGTGCGATAAACAAATACTCACTAGACTAAAAGGTGAGTTCTATAGAACGGTTATTAAACCAGCGATGTTGTCTAGGACAGAGTGTTGGGCAACCAAGAAACAACATGTAAATAAGATGAGTGGCTGAGATGAGGATGCTAAGGTGGATGTGTGGCAAGACTAGACAAGACAGAATTAGAAATGCGTGTATTCGAGAATGGGTAGGGGTAGCACTGATAGAAGATAAGTTGAGAGAGAATCGATTGAAATGGTTTGGTCATATTCAAAGGAGATCAATAGCAGTAGGAGTGAAGAGATGCAATGTTGTAAGGGTAGATGGAAGTGTTAGGCGACGGGGTAGGCCTAGATTAACGTTGACTAGCGTTGTAAATAGAGATATGGGTCTACTTAATTTGACTAATGAAATGGCCTTTGACAGGGTCGCGTGAAGAAGGATTCATGTAACTGACCTCATTTGATGGGATTTAAGGTTTGGTTTGGTTTGGTTATTTAAATTATTTAATATATAAATAATATATTTATTATATAATTTAAAAAATGATTAATGAGCTGAGCTTGATGAGCCGAGCTTATGCGAGCTTGAGCTCGAGCTCGAGTTTGGCTCGTTTACTAAACGAGTTTAATATTCGAGTTCGAGCTCGACTCGTTTACTAAACGAACTGAGCCCTTAACGAGCCGAGCAGAGCTTGTTCATGAACAACTCGATTCATTTGCAGCCCTAGGTGCAGATGTGAGATCTGTGTCGGACTCGGCATGGTTTTCTTAGACACAACTGACATGAGAGAAGAGTGAAGAAGGATTGTTGAGAAACTTACAGTGGTAGTAGGACCGACGACCATAAGCTGCTAAGATTGATCAATCGATCTTTTCTCTCTCTCTCTCTCTCGATCTTGTCCTTATCGCTAAGAGTACGTTTCGTCTTCGTGATCGAAGCCCGAGGAGGGGGCTTCAAAGTCATCTTTGTTAGAGAGTCGATCTGAGTGAGGAGTGTGGTTCGGTGGAGGTGCGGCGGAGGAGGAAGAGTCTTTGTTGGCATCAGATTTGAGGAAGCTAAGGTCGTCGATGGTGGTGGAAGAGACATCGATGTTTTTGAGATCTTTGTCGAGGTCGCGAAGTCAGTCGAGGTCTTGGTCAAGGTCTTTATCTATTTTTTTTAAAAGGAATCCAATAAAACCATATATAATATATTTTATTTTATATTATTTATTATTCATAAATATATCAATATTTTCAATAACATATATTATGTAATTATTTGACCATTTATAAATAAATAAGATTAAAACATTTTATATAATATAAAATTTATATACATGAAATATAAATTATATTTGTAAAAGTTTAAAAAAATTATATCTTATATGAAAGTAAATACAATAAAAATATATGCCTGGGCCCTACATTTATTTCATAATAAATTATTTTTTTGTTCTTCTATAGTTATGTATTTTTTTTAGACTTTAATTATCTAGGTATTGATCATGATGTATAGATTATGTAGTTAGTACAATATAGAATATCCTATTAATATTTCATGTGTCGTGTCCCCACCCCATGTCCGTATCTATGTTTTGGAAACTTCTTAACCGAGTTCCCGTACACTCACTTTTTAGGAATAGGCGAATCTAACACTTAGACACATGCTCGTATCCGACACTCGCACCCGCACCCGCAATCGCACCTGTGTCCATGTAACATAGCTTGTCAATGCTTTACAATAAAAAAAGAATTACTGAACACCAAATGAAACACACTAGCTAATGCTTTGCAATCCCAAAAAATAGAAATCAAAATTAAACAACAAACAATGCACACCATCAATGCTCTACAATTCTAAAAAATTGAAATTGAAATTGAAATTAAAATAAAAATTAAAATTAAATACCAAACAATACACACCAACCAGTACTTTGCAATTTGTAAAAAATTAAATAACAAACAATGCATACCAGACAGTGCTTTGTGATCCCAAAAAACTAAAATTAAACAACCAACAGTGTACACTAGCCAGTGTTCTGCAATTTGCAAAAAATTAAATAACAAACAATGCACACTAGCCAGTGCTCTGCAATCTCAAAATATAAAAATAAAAATTAAAGTTAAAAAGAGATTTGAGACTTTCCAAACTATGTATGTTTATAATAAATTAGTCAAAATATTTGTGTTGCAAAGAGTGGGTTATAGCCTATGAAGCATGGACACTCCAAAATTGATGCCGTAGCAGTGTCCGACACGCGGACACGCCGGGGACACGCCGTGGACACGTACGGGACACGCCAGATGGCGTGTCCCTTTAATTTAATGATTTTTTTGGAAGGGGACATGGCAGGGACACGGAGGGGACACGCGTGTCCATTTCTGGACACGCCATGGGACACGGCGGGGCTCCTTTTTGAATTTTTTATATTTATTTGGGGTCAAAGTATAATATTTATAAAGTAAAAAAAAAAAAAAAAATTTATTTTTATTTTTATTTTTATTTTTATTTTTATTTTTATTTTTATTTTTATTTTTATTTTTATTTTTATTTTTATTTTTATTTTTATTTTTATTTTTATTTTTATTTTTATTTTTATTTTTATTTTTATTTTTATTTTTATTTTTATTTTTATTTTTATTTTTATTTTTATTTTTATTTTTATTTTTATTTTTATTTTTATTTTTATTTTTATTTTTATTTTTATTTTTATTTTTATTTTTATTTTTATTTTTATTTTTATTTTTATTTTTATTTTTATTTTTATTTTTATTTTTATTTTTATTTTT